AACAGACAATATTTGCAACTTAACCTGGCAATTCCATTCGTCAATCAGTGGGGCAGAAAAAGGAACAACATTAAGGATCTTGCACCTCCCTCCCTCCCTCCCTCCCTCCCTCCTTCCTTCCTTCCTTCCTTCCTTCCTTCCTTCCTTCCTTCCTTCCTTCCTTCCAACTAATACAACACACCCATGCTCCTGGGGACAGATCAAAGTAGAAAGCTTTTCCTCGCTCTAGATTCTCTTTATGCACAGATTTCTGTTCACGTTTCCCTTCTTGGCACTGTGCTGATGAAAAGTCCAAGGCAATATCGATCGCACAATATCTGCAGACAGTGTTTTATTCAATTCCGTCTCTCAAAATGCTGAATATATCATCTCTGATTCATTCAAGTTGCATTTATTGTTGCATTGTTGGGATTTACTTTCTTAGGAGAAAATCTGGGCCGTCGTTTTTCTCTCTCTATTTGTTGCGGACAAAGATTTCGCAACATGAACAATTCATCCAAATTATGACTGAGTCGTAACCCTGGTGGGGAATGAAATAATAATTTTAAAAAGCTTACCTTTTACAAATGATATTGGAGAGGATGTTGGTATTGTCAGGGATCTGTCTGTTTCAGCTGTCTATCTTTAGGGATCTCCAAAATATCAAATGTTTATACTGTGCAAGCCCTCTCTTTAAACCAATCAGCAGTTATTTTCTTATTTTCTAATGTACCTTGCCAATAGTGTCCTTTCCCACCACGAACAATACTTCAGCGGCCGGGTTCTTTCTTCTATATAGAACACCGAGGGTACCAGCCAATCCCTGAATTTGAAACAGAAGGTGCGTGTCCAGAGGAACATTTCAGCTTTTTAAATATTAGCTAGTAATGAGCCCATTAATTCTTGGACGGAAGGAGTCAGACCTGGCACTCAGCTCTCCCTGAATGTCAGTGGACCCAGTGAAGGTGATTTAGGTACTCTTCAAGATCTTGACCTCTGCTCTCTCGAGTTCATAAACTATGTTTGCAATTGTAAATGCACTCACAGAAATATGCACAGGGCTGTTTCGGACCATATTCCCAGCCAGTCATGTGCTACTGAAATAATGACTATGTAGCAATGTTTAAAAGTAATTAAATATTCATGCCAATACGTTGGATTTTTTTTATTTATACCCTTGAAGCTTATGAAGGTCATTCTTTCACTTTAGGCACTGGGCGTGATTCAGCAAAAATTAGTTGTGGGTATGGCAACCTGTTTCTTGGTAAAAATGGACATTTGAAGATGCCTCTCACTAGATTATCCTATCTAAGAAGTTAAGAACTGTTTGAGGGTGACAGCAAAAGAACAAAACCTTACGTTGTCTTTATCCTGAAGAAAACACGGGATACTTACTATCACCACACCACCTTTTAACATCTGAGTGCTGCCATTCATTTGATTTTGGGCGGTTATATAAGAAAGCAAAACGATTCTTTTAAAGCCATCCAAGTTGGTGACCATGATTGTGGGAATGAATTCCATAGTTTATATGGTGTGTGAAGAAGTACTTTTTTGGGGGGGGGTTGCCCTGAAGCATGAAGAAAAGGCTCAGTCAGTCACGCACCCCCACCCCCACAGTGGATGGGATACAGTGGATACACAGTGGTGCCTCGCAAGACGAAATTAATCCGTTCCGCGAGTCTCTTCGTCTTGCGGTTTTTTCGTCTTGTGAAGCACGGCTATTAGCAGCTTAGCGGCTATTAACGGCTTAGCGGCTTTAAGAAAAAGGAAACAAACTTGCAAGAACTCGCAAGACGTTTCGTCTTGCGAAGCAAGCCCATAGGGAAATTCGTCTTGCGGAACGACTCAAAAAACGGAAAACCCTTTTGTCTAGCGAGTTTTTCGTCTTGCGAGGCATTCGTCTTGCGGGGCACCACTGTAAATACAGAGGGTGGTAGTCCACTAAGTTGTACTCAGAGTAGATCTATTGAAATCAATGCTTCTTAGTCGTGTTCATTAATTTATATGAGTCTACTACTCCAAGTGGGACGTGGGTGGCACTGTGGGTTAAACCACGGAGCCTAGGACTTGCCGATCAGAAGGTCGGCGGTTCGAATCCCCGCAACGGGGTCCCTGCTCCTGCCAACCTAGCAGTTTGAAAGCACGTCAAAGTGCAAGTAGATAAATAGGTACCGCTCCAGCGGGAAGGTAAACGACGTTTCCGTGCACTGCTCTGGTTCGCCAGAAGCGGCTTAGTCATGCTGGCCATATGACCTGGAAGCTGTACGCCGGCTCCCTCAGCCAATAAAGTGAGATGAGCGTCGCAACCCCAGAGTCGGCCATGACTGGACCTAATGGTCAGGGGTCCCTTTACCTTTTACTACTCCAAATAAGACTTAATTGAATACCACCCATGGAATTTGGGAATATGTGGAAGATAGCTATCCTGGGTTCTGATTAAGGTGGAATGAGAAGGAAAGTAGGCAGAAAGCATCCATGTAGAAGTACCTAACAAAGGATCAAATCACTGATGGGGAGCCTGTGACGTTCCAGATTTTAATGGACTACAACTCACATCATACTTCACTGAATTCCATTCAGCGCCTGCTGAAGACATTCTTATTCAGATAAGGCTACCCAGATCTTCATAAAGTTTGTAGGAGTTTTGATTTGTTTTATTCTATTTTATTGTGATAATTTTATTGTTTTATCGTTTTTTCATAAACCACTTTGAGCCCCCCCCAATCAAGTGGTATATAAATTTCATGAAATATAAACAAACAAATAAAATCCCTGACCATTGGTCATGCTGGATGGGACTAGTGGGAGTTGGGAGTGCAACAACTCCCGAAGAACCACAGTTTTCCCATCTTTGCGTTAAATAATGCAACAAATGTTAGGTGGCCCTTTGGCCTGATACAACAAGATAGTTCTTGTGGGCTTGAACTGTTTGCTCTTTTAGTTTCTGCATTTGATAGCTCACCATAGGTTTACAAGCTTTAGCCCAACAAAAGTGGGACAAAAACAAGCCAACTGGGGAAAAATTGTGTTATGAAGAGTTGTAGACTCAGGAAGTTATGGGGCATGCACTAATTGGAAACGAAGCAGTGTGTCCACCCCAAAATGTAACCGGCCAAGCCCAGGGTGCTGGCTGCTTAAATGAGTGAGGGGCGGATCCAAGGGAAGCCCACTCCCTGCTTCATTGGCTCCGCCCCCCGCACAGCCCAAACTGTAGCCTGCATCCCCATTTGCCAAAGCAGGGTCCTAGCCAGGTTGAATTCCCCCATCGGGGCCCCAGTGAAGCCTCCTCCGTCCCGCAATATCGCCACACGCGAAAGGGTGAGCGGGCTTGCAGGCACAAACGGTATTCAAAGTGGGATTCCATATACGGTAACTGCCCTGATACCATTGTGAGAACAAATGATCATGAATGTATAATAAAAAAGGAAGAGACTCTGAATTTCCTGTATTCACTGGAATACTTCCAAAAAATATTGTCAGTCTGCTGGCAAACTGACTCTCTTAAATGTCACACTGTGTCTCATGAAGGCCTCCGGAAGGAATGTTCCCTAGTCCTGCTAGATCATTCTCACATGCTGCGCTGTTACCTCCCCGCAGCGTTCCATTGTATTCCTATTTCCTGCAGCAATTGAACCCGCTCCTCTCTTTGGACTCTGGCTTTCACGTTCCCAGTTTCCCCTTTAAGATCCAGCACAGTCTGAGTGGCATTTTCGTTTAGCCGACAGACCTTGCAATTCCCTTGGTTGTCATTTGTCTAGATTATAAGGCAAATGGCACAATATGAAATTATAGAGATGAATGAATGGTCTGTCTGTGCCGACTGGCTTTATCTCAGCGGGCTCTCCGAGCACCTCTTTAACAAGAGTGACAAGGCTGAGATGAAATTTTGATTCCAGCATTTCTTAAAAATGGAATTGAACAGCTGTCAAATATTGTCACTCTCGTTCTCGCTGTATGAGCTAAGAGGTGACCTTGAGGCGCAACTAGTTACTGCCTCTTCTTTGTGTTCTTTGAGCTTTTTCACGTAGTCTTCACAGTAAGCAGAAGTAAGGACTGCTCCACGCTAGCCCCTTCTAGGTGTTCCTGGGTCAGAAGGAGGGCTCTCAACACTTCTGGGTGCCCTGAAGGAGAGAGATAAAGATTGGGGGGGGGGTGTTGATCCTCTTCTCTCCCCAGCTCCATAAAAGCAAACTCTTGATTAGTTCCATCTCTCTTTGCACCTGGCCCAGGAATGTCTGGTCTTCAAGGCTAAAATCAAGGCGTTATAATTTTCTGTTCAGGTTGGACTTGCAAATCTTGACCATGCTTTAAATCAGGGGCCAGCAAGCTTTTTCAGCAGGGGGCCGGTCCACTGTCCCTCAGACCTTGTGGGGGGCCGGACTATATTTTGGGTGTGAAAAAATAATGAACGAATTCCTATGCCCCACAAACAACGCAGAGATGCATTTTAAATAAAAGGACACATTCTACTCATGTAAAAACACGCTGATTCCCAGACCATCCGCAGGCCGGATTTAGAAGGCGATTGGGCCGCATCCAGCCCCCGGGCCTTAGTTTGCCTACCCATGATTTAAATGTCCTCCTTCCTCACGACTTCTTTCTCATTTGCACAATTATTGGCACACCTTTGCACACTTCGTTCTTACCTGCACACAGTGCTCCCCCCCTAAAAAAATGTTTAGGGGTACTCTCATTTTCCTACTCATAGTGAAATACTGCCCTTCAATGAGGCCAAACTTAGATTCACAAAATGTTTAGGGGTATGTGTACCCCTGCGTATCCCCCAGAAAAAATGAACTGCCTGCACAGTAGAATGCCAAAGCAGGAACCACGTGAAAATAATTATGAATCTGCAACAAAGCCTTTATTTAACAAAACAAAGCAAAAATGCCACCCCATGTCTTCAAAACATAGGGGTCTGTTACAAATGCGTCCTTACTAAGGAATTCCAGGGCCCCTTCCCCACCCCCCCACCCCAAATGAAAAAACACACATAAGAATTAAGGCAGGGTCATTTGTTTTTGGAGTATTTCATGCAAGCGCATATTCAAACGTCCCCTTATCCAGCCCTTCCACCTCATCCTCCCATGTGGAGGATGGCATACTGCTATAAGGGTCTAATAAGATTTTGAAGCATCTGATAATCAGAAGTCCCAAAAAGACACACAGGATCCCCACGAAGGCAAAGCCGGTTTTTTGTTCCAGAGTGAGAGGAAAGGTGGACACCTCGTTGACACTCATGCTCAATGACGCGTTGTTGCAGTAGTTACTGCTCATCTCTGGGCTTCACATCCTGCTGGGCTTTCGAGATTTTCACTTCTCCGCCTGCGAACAAAAACAGGAGGCATGTTTCGGTTGTAGAGATAGCATTTGGCTGCTGCCTAAATCCCTGCAAAATTGGAGAAAGTCTGCCATAATAGTGAGTGAGCTGCTTTAGTTTAATGGCTAAAAGTGTGATTTGGGAAGTTCCTAGTTTAAGTATAACACCAGCTGTAAGCAAGCTGTAAGGGAAGCGGGTGGCGCTGTGGTCTAAACCACTGAGCCTCTTGGGCTTGTAGATCGGAAGGTCAGCAGTTCGAATCCGTGCGATGGGGTGAGCTCCCGTTGCTCTGTCCCAGCTCCCGCCAACCTAGCAGTTCGAAAGCACGTCAAAGTGCAAGTAGATAAATAGGTACCATTGTGGCGGGAAGGTAAATGACATTTCCATGTGCTCTGGTTTTTGTCAAGTGTTCCGTTGAAACCAGAAGCAGTCTAGTCATGCTGGCCACATGATCTGGAACGCTGTCTGTGGACAAACACTGGCTCCCTTGGCCTGAAAGTGAGATGAGCACCGCAACCCCGTAGTCACCATTGACTGGACTTCACCATCCAAAGGTCCTTTACCTTTTTTATTTTTAATATCCCAGTAACCCACTATCCTTATACAAGGTCAGACATTTTGTTCATCTAGCCGAATACTGTTTTCTCTGACTGGCAGCAGTTATCCAGGGGCTCCAACAGGGTCTCAATTATTTGCCATCTGATCCTTTTAACTGAAGGCACAAAGGATTGCTGTGACAACTTTCTGCATGTACTGTGTCATTGGGCTAAGGTCTCTGCCTCTTATCCTTAGCCTGCTTACAGTCCCAAATATCTGCAATGCAAGAATGATGACAATGGTCTGTCTTGCAACTAAACTTCTATTGGGCTATTGGGTTGTTGTTTTTATTTTTATTAGGTATTTTGTGGTTTTATATCTTGATTTTATTCCGTGAACCGCCCTGAGACCCCCGGGTATAGGGCGGTATATAAATTCAACAAACAAACAAACAACAACAACAAGGTATGCCTTGTACTTTGAACACTCAAAAAAAGTTGTATAGAAGTTAAAACATTATTATTATTACCATGTTTGTCAGCGTGCAGGTCATAAAACAATTTCTTCATTTAGATATTTTTTTTTAAGTGAAAGAACTAGTTACATAGTGAAATCACCAAAGCAAGTTAAAAGTTTATGTACTGTAACTGATAAATGGTACCTGATGCATTCATATAAGGCACACTTCCAGGCTTTCCTGAAGTTTGAACAGCTGTAGAGACATCAAAAAAAGGTTAAATCATTGAGCTGTTTTAGTTGTGGTACAAACAGGCAAGTGCTGAATTGAATTCAGGTCTCTTTCAGAAGGAATGAGATAGCTACTAGCTGGCATGTTTTCTATATCAGAGCAAGAACACACAATAATACTGTAGCAAACACAAAAGGGGAGATTTGAAAATGCAGTTTTATGTCTGAATGTTTTATTCGACTTTTGTGGGCCCACCTAAAGTGCATGTGCACATGTGTGTGTGTGTGTTGTGGATTGTATCCAGGGTCACTTAATGTTATACCTGTTCTGCTGGCAAAATGTTTGGACTCGCAGAATGTGGCTGCACAAGAAATTGCACAAGCATGTTGCTGGTAACTTCATTTGCAATATATGGTAGATTGTACAATCTGCTGTGAAATGAGTTTCTGCTAGTGCAATTCTTTTGTTGGATTCCTCTGTTGTGCAAATTGAAAACTCACCTGTCTGCTAGCGCAAGACAGATTTGCATGCAAAGTGGATGTTCTGTCACTGAACCACAGTTTACAGATCACCTTGGCTGTCTCTTAGTGCAGACCCAGGTCATTCAGCTTGAGCTTCTATAGTTGCCAGCCACCACAAACCACCATTGTCAGGGTTGGCAGCAACACCAGCAGCAATAATAATATTTTATTCTCCTGCTAATTATGCTGCTTCAAATGTGCATTTTGTATTTGACTCCCTTTGGTAACGTTTTGTTTTGAAATCTTCAAGATAGTATTTTAGTTTCCTGTTAATTATATTGCTTTGAATGTATACTTGACTTTCTTCGGTAATGTTTTATTCTGGATTGTTTTATTTGATGCTCTATTGTAGGTTGTAAAGTGCTTCAACAACATATAAAGCGGTATAGAAATGAAATTAACAACAACGGCTCTTCCAACTTAACCTGGGGCTTAGCTACATTAGTAAAAAAACAATGAACGTGTTTTGAATGTGTTATAAACAAGCAACACCAGATGGCGCTGTAGAGCAAAAAACTTTTCTATGCGATTTTACATAGTGGTTTTTTTCTCCTTTTCTTTTGTTATAACGATTTAATTTCTGACTTATATATAGCACCCGTCTGTCCCTCCCCCTATGTGTACATCCACCTTTGGGTAGTCATTGGATAGCCAACAAAGCTGAATGTTGGGAGATTTGGGACAGGCTAAATAAAGGGACGCGGGTGGCGCTGTGGGTAAAAGCCTCAGCGCCTAGGGCTTGCCGATCGAAAGGTCGGCGGTTCGAATCCCCGCGGCGGGGTGCGTTCCCATTGCTCGGTCCCAGCGCCTGCTATCCTAGCAGTTCGAAAGCACCCCCAGGTGCAAGTAGATAAATAGGGACCGCTTACTGGAGGGAAGGTAAACGGCGTTTCCGTGTGCTGCGCTGGCTCGCCAGATGCAGCTTTGTCACGCTGGCCACGTGACCCGGAAATGTCTCCGGACAGCGCTGGCCCCTGGCCTCTTAAGTGAGATGGGCGCACAACCCCAGAGTCTGTCAAGACTGGCCCGTACGGGCAGGGGTACCTTTACCTTTACCTTTTAAATAAAGGACTTCTTTGGGCAGTACATAGCTAAACTATGGAACTCCCTTCCATGGGAGGCACTTATTGCCACCAATTTGGATGGCTTTAAAAGAGGATTAGGCAAATTCCAGGAGGAGAAGTGTTATGTACTGAAGTTCTCACCCTGGGCCAGCAGGGGGATACTGTAGATAGTTATGCAAATGAAGGATCAAAAGTGACGTTCAGTGATTGGATAGTTTTAGAAAGTTGCTACAGTAACGTTGTACTGGAGCGCTATATAAGCAGGCTGACTGAGCCCTTCAGTTCAGTTCTGTTCTGGCCTCTGAATAAAGAAGAGCTGTTTGAAGAATCGCTGTGTCGTCTGATACGTTCACCCACAACTTAACAAGAAGGTTATCAATTGCTACTAACCCTGATGACTGTATTCTACCTCCACTGTTGGAAGCAGTATGCTTCTGAATACCACTTGCTGGAACCTGCAGATCCTGCTACAGGCATCTGGTTGGCCACTGTGAGAACAGGATCCTGCACTGACTTGATCCAGCAGGACTCTTCCTATGTGTTGCCATGCACAAGCTTGTTAATATATATCTGTACACATATAGTGAGCAGCTTAACACAGGAGAAAACAAGGTTTTAAAAGCAACAGCTGAAGAAACCAATCCTTGAAAGACTTACCCAGATCTCTTCGAGAAAGGAGATGAAAAAGGGATGGGAATATTTCATCAGAGCTATAATCATATTTCATCATCTACTTTAGTTTCAAAGACTGGATTGGAAATGAGAATTCGTGACTGTGAAGGTCAAAAGCAGCCGCTGTACTCCTTGTTCCGGTTCATTGCTATCTGATAGCCTGATTTATTTTTATTTTTATTTAAAGGATCGCTTTATGGACCTTTCCAGAGAATAAAAATGGAAATGCAGACTTCCCTCCTTGGCTGGGTGGGTGCAATGGTAAACGGCATGAACTGAGAGATCCCCAGTTGGAAATCACAGGCTGAAATCCTAACCCCACTTACCTGGGAGTAAGTCCAACTGGATTCAGTGGGACTTCTGAGTAGGAATGGTCAGGATGACTGAATAGGCAAACAACTATTTCTCACCCCCAGAATCAGCACACTGCTCTACAATCTGTAAATATAGGCCTGATTTGCAGGGATGCCGTAAGGATTTCTATGGTAATGGGTACCAAGTGCTTTAAATTAAACGCTTACAGGAAAATCTCATATGGATCATTATCATTGTTATAAATAACAATGCCCCCATCCCAGCATCAATTGTGCTACAGCTTTTTCTCACATAACCAAACAGGGTGGGGTTGCCCTGTCTCAATGTGGTGTGTTCCAGTGCTGAAGCCAAGGAGTGCACAACTTCGCACAAGTCTGCAATCTTATGGACCCTTTCGCGTGAGAAAGCCCTATTGAACACAGTGAGGCTTACTTCTGAGTAAAGATGCACAGCAGTGCACTGCAAAGTTGTTATGCCATGGGCACACCTAATGACACTCACCCAGCTTTGTTTGTTTCTTATGCCAATCATCAATTGCAGGCAATACCCTCACTGGGGGAAAAAAGGTGTGTTTTCCCATTGACAGTCAGTTGTGCCTTGAGCAGTATTGAGGTAATGCAATACCTTTGCAACCCAAATACTACTTGAAGGAAAGATGCCTAGATCTCCAGCGGCAAATAAGTGGCAACTGTGCATTTATTGCAATTGCACATATTTTGGAATGGCTCTAAGATGACACATATCTTCTATGTAGAGTAGTTAAGATCAAACATCAATAGGATGCTAGAATGTGGGTGTTGCCACTGCGCTGTTTGGGGTGTGGACTGGGGATGGAAAAAAATCTGTCAATTCTGGTTCTCCCAGTTTCTAATTTTTCCATTCATAAATTCATTTCTCCAGATTTGTGCAGCAAATTGTGATTTATTTTTTTTAATCCTCATGAAAATTTATCAGCGTTTTGGTGCAAATTTCTCCAAATATGCACATTTTTGTATACATTTTTGACTAACACACACATTTTTGCAAGCATTTTTCCTAATAGAATGCATTTTTGTATGTCATTTTTACCAACATATTATTCCTTATGCACATTTCCCCTAAAATATTAAATTTTTTAATAATGGAAAGCCTGGCTGGTTGGAGAACCGCACTGCAAAATTTGGATATGTGGAAACTTCAAAGGATGGTGGTGTTTCAGTTCTCATCTTGTTTCAGAAAGTAGAAATTTGATAGATTCCCTTTTAAATGTGAACAGAATCAAATTCCTCCCTCATCCCTTGTGTGGACAGCCATCTTGCAGATTTGGCCTTTATGGTACTCCTGTAAGGTATTGCCTGGCTTTTGCAAAAAAAATTCTTTGCCACTTTGGAGCAACAGCAGGTTGCCTCTGAGCCAACAAACACGAACCACCGAAATCTTACCTTGCAGAGAAGGCAACACTTTCCTTTTGGAAGGCATAATACATAACACTAATGAACTATACTTCCTTGATGAGAGATCTTGTCTAGTACGTTTACCAACCGCTGTCTATGCCCTAATAATACTTGCCTTTTGTGGGCAGCGGAAGGAGATGATGTGTTGCTGGGGAACCTGCTAGCGTCAGTGTGGCTAGACTGGCTTGTTAACATGCTAGTACAGTACAGTATGCATGCATATACTGAACAGGTTAACGCAGCAGCATGTACATTTTTAAAAACAAGCCAGTCGTCGCTTGCATCTGAAGCCTCGTGGGATATGACTCCCTCTCTCTCCGGTTGCAATCCTCACGACACCTACTTGAAAGGGAACCCCACTGCAACCAGGAGCAGGACTTGTTGTCCAGTAAATATGGTTAGGGACCCGGGTTGCTCAACACCCACTAAAAATCCTCCAGCATCCAGCAGGCTTTCCTACCCCTTCTGCAAATAGCATCCTTGATTTAGGTGCTCTATGCACAAAAGCAAAATGAGATCTCCAGCAATCCCCCTCCCACCTTCGGCTGCTAGACATTACCTGGTCATAACAAGAGAGAGGTAGCAAGCACAGGCAGCAACAACCGAGTCTTGGGCGTCGTTGCCAGGGAGGAAATCGACACTGCCCAGCTAACCAAGGTCAATGCCATCCTGTTGCATTAAGTCCAGCCGGAGAGCCATGGTAGATGGATGCTTCACCCATCCTCGCCCGAGCTGTGTGTCAAAGCAACACACAGCCTTCCCCCCCTCCTCCGCCGCCACCCACCCACCCACCCCGCACAAAACAGCCCACTCACCCCCGTCCGAGTCAGACATCCTGAGAGTACAAACCCTTTTCCTCCTTATCCTGTGTCCCCATGCTAACGACCTGCCGAAGTTTCAAGGTCTCAGGAAGAGGATCAGGTCCCAAACTGTCAGGGAGCCCTGCGAGGATTTCTGGGGCTCCCGGCCAACGTGAGCATCGCCAGGGCTCCGGCTACATCTAACCACATTAGCATCCGAGAATCTGGACTCGGCTATGGGCGTTCCTTCAGCCGGGTTAGATGCCTCTGGGTTGGGTGGGGTAGGGTCCTTTCCCGAGCACATACACATACACACACACACGCACCGCTGGCAAGTACCTGGGGATGCTCAGGAGGTTTTAATTTGATGGTGAGGGGCGTGGGGTGGAGTGGAAATGTGAGGGGAGGTGGTGGGCAATATGAAAGCTGGATTATCATGCAGCCAAGGCTCCCCCTCTCTTCCCCACCATCCAGATTGATCTGAAGTTCCTGCAAAACACTACGTGCGAGGCATTAGCAAATCTGCTATGCTCTCCCAGCTGCTGCTGCTGCAGCGGCGGTAGACTGGGTCCTATTTGCTTGCAATCCTGCTTGCAAAGCTTGTTGTTCGGAAATGTGCATCTCTGGGGAAGCGGTTTCTCGGCAGCTTCTAGGCACCTGGGGAGAAAACCAGGCGGCGATGGGGGTTGTTATTTATGGGCAGGGAGAGAAAGCCGTCCAGCGGGGGGAGGGGAGGGAGGTGCGTGGGAGTTCCCCACTTTCCATGCTGGCTGCCAAGTCGACAAATATTGGGGAGGGGGTTTGAAATGGACAAGGCGCAAAGTTGGAGGATGCCGATCTCTCTCTCGCTCCCCTCCCAAGGATGTGTTTTTTTTCTCCCATCGCCCCCACTCCCCCAGTAATCAAGTGCAAATTATTTAACTTTTTGTTTTATTTAAAGCAAGCTGCAGTAGCTTCCATTGGGTCGATTTGAGAGTGTGCTGGGCAAGAACCGACTTGAATGCATAGACAGACAGACAGACAGACAGACAGATCGATCGATCAAGCAAGCGAGCAATGGCCAGCCGATCTACTGTGGTGGGATGGGCAGGTGGGATTGGATTTATTTATTTTTTACTTCGCATTTCGCCTGGGTTGCTCCGTTGTGGGGAACAGCCATGTTGTACGGAATCCGGCGTGTGCCAAATGTTTCCCGTTGTACGAAAGGGGTGATGGATTGGCGTGTGAAGTCCCTCCCCCTTCCCCGGTGATTTCGAATCTATTGTAAATGCAACCTACATTAGTCAGATAAGAGGCTGTTTTCCCTATTAACTTCAGTGGGAAGCGGATTTTCCCTTTTGGCGCCTCCCTTGCCGAAAAAAGGAATCCTTCCAGGAATTTATGAGAACCAGGAGGTTGTTTCCAGATTTTGTCCTGAAATTTACAAACAGCTGGCAACAAAATGAGAGAATCATTCACTTGAATAGTTAAAAACAACACCAGCACCCAAATATTTGATTTGATTTTACCTTATGGGGCACATCGTTATTTGCAGCTAAGCAAGGAGCAAGGGAAACACTCCATAAAGTTGATTTATATATTAACATGAATAAACACCAGGCACAATTTTAAACGATAATTTAATCTCCACAGTATCCTCGTAGCTCAACCACCCATTGGGGAACCATTTGCTGGAATTGTGTGGCATTGCTAATGTGCTGGATGAAATTACAGACCCATCCGTCATATTTATCTGCTATTAATTCTGCATCAAGTCATTTGCTATGGCTGCTAAGAATTGGTTGAGAAAACACAGACCTCCAGTTCTTGTGGGAATTCCAGATAACAGCTTATACCAATCTTATATCCATGATTATGAGAACCAAGAAGAGTATCAGAATAAGAATTTGATTTCAACACAAAGTTTTATTTGTGTGTGTATAGTAAGGGGGGAAATTGATGACTTTATGTTTTGCTAAATTTTAGGTTAACTTGTTTTCAGTTTTTGGGATTTTCAGTGAATATTTTATATTGTTTTATGGAAACCACATGGAGCTTTTTGATGAATAAACAGTATATTGTTGTTTAGTCGTTTAGTTGTGTCCGACTCTTTGTGACCCCATGGACCAGAGCACGCCAGGCACCTCTGTCTTCCACTGCCTCCCGCAGTTTGGTCAAACTCATGCTGGTAGCTTCAAGAACACTATCCAGCCATCTCATCCTCTGTTGTCCCCTTCTCCTTGTGCCCTCAATCTTTCCCAACATCAGGGTCTTTTTCAGGGCGTCTTCTCTTCTTATGAGGTGGCCAAAGTATTGGAGCCTCAGCTTCAGGATCTGTCCTTCCAGTGAGCACTCAGGGCTGATTTCCTTAAGAATGGAGAGGTTTGATCTTCTTGCAGTCCATGGGACTCTCAAGAGTCTCCTCCAGCACCATAATTCAAAGCATCAATTCTTCGGTGAGCAATCTTCTTTATGGTCCAGCTCTTACTTCCATACATAATTGGTATATAAATTTTGTTAATAAATGAGAGAATGAATGAGGAGGAAGAGGTTCCTAGGGGTTTGTTCCACTATGGAAAGGGTCGCCAACCTTTTTGAACTAGTGGGCACATTCCAGAAGTTGAGAGTGTGTTGGATGTGCCAACCACAAAATGGCATAGCTTAACACAAAATGGCTGTGATAGGGAGTGTGGTATAACACAAAATTAAAGAGACTATCACCCCTGACAACCTTACGCTTACCATGGGAAGTCAGCTAGATCCTGCTGGTCCTGCTTCTGTGCATTTCACACACTGATGCTGTTGGTGTGTAATAACAACGGGGAGCATTCCTAGGTTGTTGGCATCCATCCGTCTCGGGAGACAATGGAAGTATGTGCCTTCAGGGATAAAGTCAAATCACTGGAGAGTTATGGCGCTTGTGGTACCTATTTATCTACTTGCACTGGTGTGTTTTCGAACTGCTACGTTTGCAGGAGCTGGGACAGAGCAACAGGAACTCACCCCGTTGTGCAGATTCAAACCACCAACCTTCTGATCAGCAAGCCCAAGAGACTCAGTGGTTTAGACCACAGTGCCACCAATGGAGCCGTAGGGCTGGGGCGTGGGGATATGGCTAGAGATGGGCTTGATTCCTAATTACTTCATAGAATTTATTAATTAAATTTTTTTGCCCTATTTTTCACCTTGTCCTGTCCTTAGCGGCTTACAGAATAAAAACATACAATGTGCAAAATGTAAACCACAAATGAAACACCAGAGATTAAAACATCAGAACAGCATTTGTGGTGCTTTAAATGTCTTTGCGATGGAACCATGTAACTAATCAGATTTCACTACATGACACCATCACAGAAACAGAACGTGATCAAGAGTCTTTACCTTCACTCTGTACAGGTGGACATTTTGCTCCTAGAGTCCTAGTTTGTGCTTGCACACACACAAAAAGGAAAGGAACGTTTTTCACAGCTTGCAAAACCTTTTGCAAATAGTGTTCCTATTTCATTTGCATTCATCTTACAGCCAACCTTTTCTGTGTTGGCATAAGCACCACTTTGTGAGCAGCAAATAACTTCTCTGCTTGACAAATATTCACCCAGATTCAGCAAAATGCTATGCAGTGGGAGCAGCGTTGAGTAGTGTGACGTCCTAGTGTGCTTCAGCATGCCACCCCAATCTTGGCGCGGTGCAAGATTCCAGGGGTTCCAAGCACTCACCCAGGGTTTGTGTTTCCTTTGGAATGAGGCACAGCAGAGACTGTGGGGTCTTTATGATATATGGTTTATTTACACATATATAACCTGGGCCTACAATGGAGGGATTCACAGCATTAACATCCCAAAAGGTTATTGTTTCATAGCCACAGCCTTGGATCCAAACACAAAACAAAACATGTCTCTCCCTCTGCCTTTCCAGCCTGCAGTGGCATAGCATGGGGGGCAGGGGCGCAAAATTCCAAAAAGGCACAACCAGGTGCCCTCCCACAGGTGCCAGCTTCTACAGGGATGCTGCAGGGATTCTGCAGTGGCCTCACCCCACCCAATAGCTGTGCCAACTCTCATCATGCCTCTTGCTTGTCTGGATGGAGGAGAGGGGTGTGCGATGGTGTGTAGAAACTAGCCTACTATCTGAAGATAAAATTTTGTTTCATTCATCTGACCCCTTTTGCTTCTGGCACTTGGAAGGTTGCCCTCAGGCTGAAAAAGAACCTTCAACCCCGTTTTAGGTTAATATGCAAGCTGGAACTTTGCTGTCCTCCTGGAACTTTGCCAACATAGCCCCCCTGAGTCTTGCACACTAGCTTGGTCAAGTACAGAATGGAAGATGGCAGGATCCCCAAGGATGTGCTGTATAGGGAGCTGGCTTCAGGCACTAGGCCTGTTAGCAGACCAATTCTATGTTACAAAGATGTCTGCAAATGTGGCATGACAACATCAACCCTACCATGTGGGAATCTTTTGTTATGGTCCACCACCTTGCTGTTTTATGAGTTGAGGTGGTCTCAGTATTTACCTGCAACCCTGCCTGTTTGAGACATATGGAGAGCTCAGTTGGTTAGAGCATGGTGTTAATGCCAAGGTTGCAGGTTTGATCCCCGTATGGGACCGCTGCATATTCCCGCATCACTTCCAACTCTAGAATTCTATTATTAATGTCCAAAAAAGAAAAAAAGAAGAAAGACAGAATGAGGAAACTGGGGGTCCCAGGAGCAGATAAGTAAAATATATCCAAGGTGGGATGTTTAGGTCCCGATAAGTAAGGGAGCGTGCAGGTGAGATGGGTTCTGGGAGAAGAAAGTGGTTTGGATCCAAAGAAAAGAGGAAAATGAAGATAAAGGGTTTAATTCAGCCACGAAATTCAGTAGGTAATTTTGTGTCAGTTGCCCTCTCCTACCCTGTTGCATTGTTGTGATAGCAAAATCATGTATACGCCCGAGATATTTGGAGGGCAGAATAAAAATGAGGTATATATAACATAAATAAAAAGAGCTACACTTATGCCAAACTGTATTATGTAAGCAGCTATTATTATTATTAAAAATATTTATTATTGTTTTTATTATTACTACATATCGTGAGGATTGCAACCTTCACCCCAACGCCCCAGGGCAGGTTACAACAATTTAAACGCAATGCGAAATATGGTTTTAAACAGGAGACAACCACAAAAATTAGGGGAGCCTTGAAAGTACACATCTCAGGCGTCAAAATCCAGGGCGAAGAGCTTTTGTTTCGCTGTATTTCCAAAAAGCTTCACCGTTTACAGAGTTCGGGCTTCTTCACCACTGCTCATGATATTACGACTTCGTTTCATTAATTCAGCTAACGAAAGGAGC